AAAATGAATCTATATGCAGCAGGAATCTATCCATGGTACCTTCTATTTCTTTCATTTTTGTGTTCTTGAGGCTTTGAAGCCTGCGTTCCCCGTCTTTTCCCCCTCGGTTTGGTTTCAACTCCCTCTACCTCCTGCCTTCACAGATACGAATGAGTGCGCAGAAAATCCCTGCGAGAACGCTCACGCTTGCAAAAATTTGATTGGCGGATATCTCTGCAACTGTTTTCCGGGATGGTCTGGAAAGAACTGTGACATCAGTCAGTATTTCTTCCTCAGAATCACTTCTGAACTTCATCCTCTTCCTCTGGCTCTTTTTTTAACCGACTCACTTTCCCCTGGACACACAACATACGTGTATTTTAGCGTCACTTTCCCTCCACATGTTGTAACCAGTTCATTTCTAGTCTCGGTAAAGCAAAGCTCCGACGCTGACGTCTGGACCTGCATGAACAGTTTCTCTCTCTCTCTCTGGATCCGCTGCATGCACAGTTACAATCTACAGGATCTACCTGGCTTCACTAGTTGTTTCTTTTCCGAACTTTGACTTGTGCACATCCCACTTTGTAGAGTTCACCTACTAATTAACGGGGTGCTGCGTGGGAAAATGTTATTAATATAAAATGTTGGCGTCCTCTTCAGTTTCCAACGAGTGCCGTGGTCAGTGCCGGAACGGAGCGACATGCAAGGTACAGCTGATTCCACTTTTTACTTCCATATAATTCGTTCATAGGTCTGAGAGATTTCCGAGTGTGACCCTTCACTTCTCTGTGTTTCCTCAGGAGGGCGACCAGGGTTACCTCTGCCAGTGTCCTCCAGGCTTCGTGGGCACTCACTGTGAAATCCAGAGGAATAAATGCGACAGCGGTCCGTGCCAGAACGGCGGCCAGTGCCACGCGGTGTTGGACGGCTTCGTGTGCGAATGCCCAGCCGAGTTTGCGGGACAGCTGTGTGAGGTGGGTCTCAGGTTCCACATGTCCCAGCATTGAAGAGCGAAAGATGAAAGGAGAATATATGAGGTGGTCATGGGATTAAAGCAGCGACACATTAGACATGTAGCACCTCCTGCCCCGGAACATTTTGACACCGTGTGGCCAATAGAGGCAGAGAAGAAATCAGGTTGGCTGTGGGAATCCAAACCAAAACATTATAAATAGAGTAAAAGTGACGATGTCCTGCTTTCCTCTCAGTTTACACAGAATAAAAAATACAAACCTTAACTTTGTTTTAAAAGTTGTTTCTGAAGAGCTGACAGAATTCCCAACATTTACTAATATGTTCATTTCTCAGCTCCTAAAGCAGATGGACATGAAATCAAAACATTTGTCATCTTGAACAATTGCTTCTCATTCTAAATCAATGCATTTCACTAATGCCTCCTCAAACACGTCTCCTACCCACTGAGCCTCGGTCCGCAGGAATATCATCAGGGTCTGAATCTTCTTCATTATTATTTTCATCATTGTTTAAGACCGACACGTCTAACGTCGACTAACCCTCCCACTGCAGCGGGTGGGGTGGGGTGGGGGGGTTTGTACACCCAGAACAATTTAAAAATATACAATACAGCTGCCAAGGTGAAAAAGTATTAATAGTTACTTGACAGCCACTTGGATTTTGGAAACTTGTAATACCGTGCAAATGCAGTAGCCGGTTTGACCTTGTCCTCTGAGCCAACAGTCAATTGTAAACTCCTCAATGTGCCAAATAGTTGTGTAATGCTGTATTCTCCCGTCAAGCCAAAATCCAGATTTATTATTTTTTCAGCAAGCGTCTCTGTCGTAAATCATGTGTTTTCTTTGACACAGACATTACATGTCAGAGTCGCCTCCGCAGCCTCTTACATTTGAAGTGTGTGTTTGAAGTTAAAGTAGGTTAGAGGCAAGAAAAACGACACTTCACCGCGTCTCCTGGGCCCTGAATGGAGGACATTGCTGGTCAGGAGCCAATCCTGATTTAGCATCTCTACTATAAATATGAGCCTCTCTGAATGAGGTGATGCTGGAGTTCTGCCCGCGTACTACAGACCTCTGATGTCTGCTATGGCACGGTGCACATTCCTGCTCTGCAGTGACAAAACCAAGATGCCTGCAGCATCATGTTTCTGTCATTAGTTTGTGTTTAATATGTTCAGTTGTGTAATGACGTGACACGATTTGATTTATGTCTTTTTGATTCCCAGTGGGAATGTTTAAGAGGGTGCGACACAGAGAGCCACAACATTTGTTCTCATAGTAAATATCTTGTAACACCACTTTTCATTTTGTCCCATTCACAGAATTAATTTAGGTTCGATTTGTATTTTTTATGGGTTTGGTCGTCGTCCATTATTTTCTCGATAACTATATATTTTACACGTTGTGCAAACACAAGTATAATATGAAATTGATGTAACTCAGATATATAAGATGTTTGTCATTCTCTGTTCATGAAGATTTTAGAAACAGGAGCAAAAACATTTTTATCTTGATATTTTTGGCCATACAATAATCTATCTAGTTTTAAATCTCCATTATTAGTGGTACACTCAAACATCAATGTATTTGTGGTCCATCCCAAATGTACATTCTAGGATTTTTGTCTTGCTACCGTTCAAAATGTCAGCGTGACCAGCGACTGCTGAATATTTATAGACACTCGTCCTCAGAGATGATCCTCAGACCACACACATGCAGACGGTAAAGAATGAATAACAACTTTCTCCGACAGTTGGGGTAAAATAAACTGCGACCTCAGACTGTTGTCCTCCTCTAACTGCACCGTTCAGCACCTTAAATGGTGAAGGGGTGTACCCCACAGTTTATACCCTGTAAGCTTCTGTTTACACAAACTGAGAGATTTTCACTCTGACTTCTCTATTGCAGCATTTGGAAAAGACAAAATAGGTCACTATGGCCTCCAGATCGGTTCTTAGTGTCGTGGTGGTATGACGGATGATTTATCTTTATTACATTCACTCGGCGTGATGTTGGACTCGAGTCAATATTTGCCCTCACGGTGGGTTATCGTCCTCTCGCCCGCTCACTTTCTCTATCCCTCTCCTCCATGAGGCGTCTGTCTCAGAATAATCTTTCAAGCTTACGCAGGACGAAGATGTGAAACCAAAAGCGTGGATCCCCTTGATGAGCTTAGTGAATGTTTCTGAGGCTTACTTTGCTCTTTCGTTTTGTTCCGAGCGGCAGCGGTGGCTTGATCCGAGCTAAGCCGCTCACCTACGCAGACTTTAGCTCTCATTTCTCCAACACTCATTTGGCTTCACTTGCTTAATTGTCTAAATAAGCCATTTTACTAAAGTTATGTTTGCTCAGTGTAACTGACAACGTCTGGAGTTCAGCGCCTGTCTGAAAGTGCTGGTGCTGGGAAACGTTGTTAAAATTATAGGAAGTACGACCAAAACCAATAAACTGAAAGATGCTAAAACGTTTATCATTGTAATCAACACTTTTCACATCACACACGTGAATTCAATCGTTTGTTAACACCTTAAATTATTTATTGTAATTGATTTTTTGGAATTTTATTTTTTAAATTGCCTCTTCATGGTTTCCACAGATCCCCAGCTGGTCCCCCTCTGACGCTTGTGATCCGAACCCTTGTAAGAACGAGGCCCAGTGTCACAGCATCTATCAGGACTTCTACTGCGCCTGTCCAGAGGACTACCAGGGGAAAACCTGCGAGCGGCTCAAAGAGAACTGCAAGACCGTCCCGTGTCAAGGTGACGGGAAACCTGTGCAGAAACCTAAACTACTGCTTTGTTCTGAAGAAAAGTATTGAAACCCATCCGTGTCTTTTCTTCCTCGCAGCGATTGACAGCTGCACCGTTGCCGTAGCGACCAACGACTCGGCTGGAGTGCGACACATCTCCTCCAACGTCTGTGGTCCACGAGGCCGATGCCTCAGCCAACCAGGGGGAAACTTCACCTGCGCCTGTGACCCGGGCTTCAGCGGCATGTACTGCCACGAGAGTAAGACGAGATTTTAACATCAGACCAACACCTGAGCTTAAAACTCTAACTAATTTCGTCTTTTACTTGTAAAATGTTATTGACGGAATTTCTTACCTTCGCATCTTCTCAGTGTATTTATCTAATTCTGTCAAATCTCTCCCTCTCTCTCTCTTCTAGATATCAACGACTGCATCGACAGCCCTTGTGGAAACGGAGGAACCTGCATCGATGGGGTGAACTCCTTCCAGTGCTTCTGTCCTGACGGCTGGGAGGGTCGACTCTGCGACCACAGTAAGTTCGTGATTCGTCTCTGACCGTGTCTTTGCAGCACGTGTGGTGCAGACCTCGCTCTGCTCTGTTCCCTGAATAAAAACGTAGTAATATTTACACCGTGTGCATCTTCCTTCACCGTCAGACGTCAACGAGTGCCGACACAACCCCTGCAAGAACAGCGGCCGCTGCGTCGACCTGGTGAACGACTTCTACTGCGAGTGTGCCGACAACTGGAAGGGCAAGACCTGCCATTCCCGTGAGTTATGTCAACTCTGTGTTAACGTGTGTGTTTATGTTCATACTTTGCTGCGGCCCCAAACCCCAACGTGTCGTCTCTGTTTGTTTTGACGACTGAAGCATGACCTCAACATGTTGGATCACAAGAAATATCCTCTGTTACCGATGCCACTAAAAGTCAGTCATGTGTGGAATGGTGTCGGGGTGTTGGTACAATAGAGATGGACGCGTCTGCACTTCCTCCCTTTTCATGAAAATGAGGCCAAAATATGGGAGCCGCCATCTTGTGCTTTTGTCATCATCTGGCGCCACTGTAGTAAATTAGGAGACTTCTTAGTTGAGATCTGAGCGTTTGTTTTCCCCGCCAGGCGAGAGCCAATGCGACGCCACCACCTGCAGTAATGGAGGCACCTGCTACGACCACGGAGATGCCTTCCGCTGCGCGTGTCCACCCGGGTGGGGGGGGAACACCTGCAACACAGGTGAGGCTTCAGGGATCACGTGTTTTCGAAACGCAAAGTAAAGTTTTTAAACCGTCTGATCTGATCCTCATCCTCTGTCCTCCCACAGCCAAGAACAGCACATGCGCCTCCAGCCCGTGTTCCAACGGTGGAACCTGCGTGGGAGGAGGAGACACCTTCACCTGCATCTGCAAAGACGGCTGGGAGGGACCCACCTGTGGCCAGAGTCAGTTCCTTTTGCACACAGCTAACACAAAAATAACTATTCTTTCAGCTGCATTGAGCTTGTTATCTATTTGAGGACGACACGCAATGTGTTTTGTTGTTAAACGTCACACAGAATCTCAAGTAGGTCAAGGAAGTGTATTTATTTATGTATATGTCGAGTGATTAACAATACACGTTGCTTGACGAATATTTAAATAACATGTATTATCTATACAGAGGGAATTTTAAAAAGTGACAAAGGCCAAACAGTAAATATTTTCTCCTGGATTTTTTTCTTTATCAAATGAAGCAGAAATAATCTGACTGAAGATTTATTTCATTTCTTGTCTTCAACAGATACAAACGACTGCAACCCTCATCCATGGTATGTACCACACACACACACACACACACACACCCCCCAAAAAAATCCATATTCTTGCCTCCATCGTCTCCACACTTCACTCAGGCCGAGCATGAAGGAGGGGTGAAGGGCTAACAGCTCTGGAAGTTGTGCTTAAATCAAGCCTCAAAGAGAGGAGGGGGCTCGTATACTGAATAGGACGGAGAGAGAGAGATTTTGGGGTTGGTTGTGTAGTGAATGCAGGTGGGGGGGAGGAATGTCGGGTATGAGAGAGGGGGGGGGTACGTATCCCATTCTTCCCGTGCAACCTGGAGGGGGGTGGGCTTTGAGGAGGACTGGAGGAGAGGCAGGAGGGGAGGAACTGGACACGCCTATTAGCATCTGAAAGGTGGAGGCTGGTATTGATGAGTTGAATTGAGCCGCGTGACCCCCACCACCACCATCATCATCATCACACACACACACACACACACACGGTGTGGCTTTGTTGCAGCAGGAGAGGATGTGGCTCTTGTGCGGCTTCGTCTAATCGCTTTTTTAATTTCCTTTTCTTTCACAGTTACAACGGCGGTATCTGCGTAGACGGAGTCAACTGGTTCAGGTGCGAGTGCGCTCCTGGTTTCGCCGGACCTGACTGCAGAATCAGTGAGTAGTGACAACATGGAGCTATATACAAACCCCCCCCCACCCCCAAACTCCCTAAAGTAGTCATGGCACCAAGTATGATGATGAGGAGGATGGAGGGATCGAGGAAGGAACCAAGAAAAAGGGTGGATGAGGAGGAGATGGACACATTGACACCTAAATGCAGGACCGGGGCGCCGCCCTCTCCCTTTTTCCTGGTCCTTAAACGCCTCAGGGGTCAGAGGTCGTCCCTCCTCCATACTCTCACAGTCACACAAACACACACCGAGGACAAATTACCCAGTGACCCTGAAATTCTTCTTCTCTGCTCCTTTGTTTGGGCCGGATAGCGTTCACCTTTGCTGTCAGGCTTGAATTTGAGAATTCTCATCCAGGCTGTGCTCATGTGAATCTGGATGACAATGGTCGGCGTCTCAAAAGATTTTTTGGTCGGAAGGCACAAACGATTGTTCGTCCTTCAAAGAGCCGGTCTTATAACGGAGAGGTTGATGATTAAACATGGGCACTATTTACCCACTGATCCTGATATGACATTTTATGGGATTTATTTTGCCCAGACTGTTTTTTTGGTCTTGACCCAGGGGCTCATAAAATAAATTAATGAGTCAATTGACAAAATAGCTCATGAGCTCGTCCAAATTTATCTTATTCTTTGTGGCTTTTTCGAATTTTTGCAGTTTTTCTTGAGCCTGCTCAACCAATCCTCAACCCTCTCGTCTGGTCAAACTGCTTGCATGTCATGAACTTATACAAGCGGCAGGGGGTCGTGAGAAGTGGTTACCTCCCGGTCATGCTAGCAGTGGAAGGTGACGTTCTGTTCTCCTTCCCTTCACAGACATAAACGAGTGCCAGTCTTCACCCTGTGCCTACGGAGCCACGTGTGTGGACGAGATCAACGGTTTCCGATGCATCTGTCCGCTCGGTCGAACGGGAGCCAGATGTCAAGAGTGTAAACAGCTTTTTTTGTCGCTTTGGATTAATGATTGGAGACGTAACTCGCTCATCTTGTAGTTAATGTCCTCAAAGTTTGTCTTCAGGTCATTGAGACACTGTGAGACTGTAGACGTCCTGTTAAAACATGTCTCTCTCTATGCCTGTGTGTGTGTTTAGTCATTGGTATTGGGAAGACTTGTCACTACACCGGGCTGCAGTTTCCGCATGGCAGCCGCTGGGAGGAGGAGTGCAACAACTGTCACTGCATCAACGGCAAAGTGGACTGCACAAAGGTAACATGGCCGCAGTTAAATATCAGTTATTCTTTACTGAGACACCAACCTGGTTCTCTCCACACCCAGTCAAATAAACTAGCTATGACAGTGCTCGGGGCTGAAATCCACAAATGAGTGGTAGTCATAGTATAATGCTTTGTGGGTTTACGTTTTGATCCTGTGACTCCAGGTGCTGTGTGGTCGTCGCCCGTGCCTGCTCCAGTCGTCGGGCCAGCAGCAGTCCTGCCCTGCTGGACGGGAGTGTTTAAAGCACAGCTACCTCACTTGCTTCTCCCCCCCTTGCCATCAATGGGGGGTTTGCTCCATGGCCAGACCCTCACCCCCACAAGTAACCACCAAGTGCCAGCCGAACAGCGGGCATTTGGACAACAGCTGTGTCCGGATAACACTTGTTTTCAACAGAGACAAAGTACCACCAGTGAGTCACGTCTCCTCTAATGACATTTCCTGTTTCAGATGCTCAGTCTTGATTTCCAAGATGTGTTTTTCTTTTTTTTTTGTATCGTTGCTGATCAGTGTGCGTTTGTTTGCATGTGCAGGGAACAACTGTAGAGAATATCTGCTATGAGCTGAGGTATCTTTCAAGCCTCCGAAGTTTGGCAAAGGACCACGCGCTTCTCCTGCTCTGTGACGTCTCTCATTCGAATCCGGACGCTGTAGAGGTGGCGATAGTAAGTGAAAGATCCAAACGTTGATTCAGACAAATCAGTTTGTACATTGTCCAGTTCCTTACTTTGTGCAGTATCATTAAAATCACCTCATTTCAGCTCAGACACAGTGTTGGAGGTCGTTAGTTCTTTCCCCCAGTTCTGGCCGGCACACATTTAGTTGGTTGGGATCCAAATGCCCAAACATCTGCTGCTCTTTGGTCTCTTGTTCAAGACATTCAGGCCTACATTCGCTCACACAACCTGTTGTAAGAGATCAACTTAGTCACTCAGTTTGTTGGAAGTGTGGGTAAAATGGGCAGAATCAGGGTTTAAGGGATGTTTTGTTATTCTAGAAAAGAGGTTTAAATCCACTCTCTTTCTCAAGATACAAGAAAACAAATGAACTTATTCTTTTATTGAACTTTCAGTGACTGCTTCCTTTGTGTCTCAGTTTTGTCCCGAAAGACTTTTTACTATTAATACATGACTTAATCATACATACTTTGGACTCTTTTGACACATTGCAGTGAATAAAAAGACGCAGAGTGCTTGTTCCTGGTTATTGTGCCTAATCTCTTACATGTTCTCTGGTTTGTTTCTCAGTCTTTCCAGCCAGAAGATCTACAGGACCTCAGTATGATCCAGAAGGTTGCCAGCGCCATAGAAGGCACCTTGTCGAGGCGACACAACAGCAGTATAATGCTGGCTGTCACTGAGGTCAAAGTGGAAACGCAGGTCATGCCCCCCTCAGTGGGTGAGTAATAATTAACAAAGGTGTCCCACAAGGGTTTGTCATGGGCCTCTTTTTAGTTCCTGATCAATCCACTGATTTCTCTGCAGTTTTCTTTAATTTTCCTCTTTGTGCCTCCGGGTGTCCACAGATTACCTGGTGCCTTCACTCTGTGTCGTCTTCTTCCTGCTCTGCCTCGTCTGCATCATTGTATGCGTTTGGTGGACACGCAAACGGAGAAAAGAACGTGAGAGGAACACGCGATCTGCTGCAGAGGACAACGTGAACAACCAGTGGGAGCCGCTCCGGATTGTCGTGGGACGTGCGCATCATCAGCAGCAGCAGCAGCTGAAAGAGAGCAACAGGGAGGCTGAGCAGGAGCGCAAAAAGCTCATGGGTCCTTCTTATCGGACGTGTGATGAAGGGGAGGAGGAGGAGGAGACGGAGGGCGAGCTTGAGCTCGAGGAGGAGTGTGGTGGAGCAGAGGCGGGGAAGCAGCCAGTTTATAAGTACTCTAAGACTGCAGAGCAGTCCAGTGGGGGTGTGATCTGTACTCTGCACAGCTCCAGTTCATCCCTCAAAGCGCCTCACCGGACCCCAGGCTACAGCCCCAAAGACAACCGCTGGAAAAATGTCAGTGCCGTCTTGACTGGTCAGAAAGACCTCAGAGACCACTGTGTATAAGACATTTAAACCAAGGACTCGCAGTGTGCAAGCGAGAGAAGCTGCGAGCCAGCAGCTCTTCTTATTTTCAGACTACTTTTGGAGAGAAAAAGAGGCTTTGTGTTTTAATAAGCCATTCTTTGTTTTGATGTTTTCGTCACTGTCACCTGAAACGATTTTTGATTCAGGAGGCTAGAGCACAGTGAACAACCTTTTTTGCTTCTGTTCGCTTATTTTTCTTTGATTATGTACAGAAGGAGCTGAAATGTTAACGTTTGTTTCAGGAGGCAAAAGAAGCTCTCTGCAATTTTTGTTTATGGATTTGTACCATTTAAGAAACGATGAATCAAGAAAAAGGAGAAAAAACAACTTGTATAAAGGTTTTTTTGTTTGTTTTGTTTACAGATTATGATTTTGTTGAATTGTCAGCGGGCTCCTGTTCAGTGTCTGTGTCTGGGGACAGATGCACGTTAAAGGGACGGTAAAGGAAGGGTTTAGAGGGAAATGTCCTGTTGCAGTCGCAGCAACAGAGGAAACCTTCCAGTCTCTGTCCGGCTTCGCCCACTGATCCACCTGTGGCCGTCATGCGCCAGCCTTACCAAAACACTTGGCCTGGAGGGGAGAGGGGACAGAAACCCCAGTGCCTACTATGTGGCCTTCCATTGTTTTGTTTTATTTTGCTCCTGTCTCTCAGTCGTCTTGGCTGAAAGCTCTGTTTGAGGATTTTCTGCAGTATTTGAGTTGGTAGCAAGTGCCTTTCTAAGAGCTGTGTCGAGGCTCCGAGTCGCGCTGCCCAGTTTGACCTCCTCGTTCTCAAATCTCAAAGGGATATAAGTGTACATTTAGAGAGTTCAATTTCACAGCAACGCCATTCAAGGTATTTGATCAAAACAGAAATGAATACTCTGTACATATGTGTAAATACTAAAGGAGTCGCTGTGTATATTTGAAATAAGTAACTTAAAGACAAGTCA